TTTGCACCTGCCAAGGTGAATAACATACAAAGCTGGTTTAAAAAGAAAAAACGTGGTTTGAATGCGTACATTAACAGGTTTATGATATCACTGCCCCATCCAAGACACGAGTGGATCTGACTTTAATTACATTTGTCTCGAGTGTTTCGTCAATGTGTTGCTTAAAATAATACTTCTGCATACAGTCTGTGACACTGTGAGTGTTGCACGGCCAGATACGGCTCAGCTGACTCAGATAAGGAAATATATGATACATTATGAATCATGATGTGATATGCCGCGGACTGTAATGTTACTCTGATCCGGTTACTTATTTTTGCCGGCCGTCTTTCCTGCAACGGCAGTTTTTCTGTATTTCCTTTCTCCTGTAATGTGACTTGATTGCTTTAAACTCCGCACACGGAGCCCTGATTGGTCAGCAGGCAGTGCTTTCACTGAGTTGATCTCTTAGCCTGCAACCTAACCTGCTCCGGGGCAGGTTAGCCGCTCAGCATAAGTTACCATGGAGATCTAGCCTGCTAAAAAGAGAACCAGCTTCGTAAGACCGGAAAGCCGGAGTTTTCCCTGAAGTTAGCCGGCTAAGCAAAAATCCTGCTTCGTAGTATACCCCCCAGGCTAAGACCGTCGAGACGGATAAGTGTGCAAAATTTAAGGTCATTCTGACTTGCGGTGCGACTCCGAAATGGTATTTTCATTGGTGGTGCTAGCGAGCAGGTTGGACAATTTGAACCCAATGACTCCAGAATGTCACATTTTTCACCGGTCCTGGCGTCTGTAAAAAATTATACAACTTTTGAAGCGTCATAAGCCCCTCAAAAATGGGTTCTAAGAACGGGAAGAATAGTGAAGAATAATTCCTACAATAACAATAGGTTCCTCGCACTTCGTGCTCGGGCCCTAATTAGCTTGGTTTATGCAGACAGTTTGAAGGATTATGGGACTAAAGAAACCCCAATCTCCTTATTCCATCTAAGAGCAGTCTGTTTAATGACATACTGATGTTTGCATATTTTTTGAAGGCTGCTTATATGACAGGAGATTGAGTGTTGATAAGATGGTTAAAATGTTAAGAAGTGAAGATCCTGCTTTTGTGCCGAGCAGTAGGAGAAAAAAAAAAAATGTCTGCTTCATAATCTGACATGATCTTCATGTTTTTAAACTACATGTATAATGTATGCATTGATCATGTGAGTAATCAAATGATACGCGCTTCCATGCATTCTAGTGTATATATCATACAGCATGGATGGGACCCACTGAAGGTGTTTTATATTCCCACAAAGAATAAAATACCACAGTTAGCTCTGAAATATATATTATCACCTGTTGACATTTGAAAGATGATGATTGTATATTGCACTCCACTTTACCCAAATAATAATAATTTTAAAATGTTCTTTTATTTAATGTATTTATTCATATACACTAGCAATTTTTTTAATAATTGTACAAAGTGCAAACCATCAATGGTAAAAACAATGGAGAACATTAATTTACTAAAATACAACAATACAATATCTTTAAAATCATCAATAAAAGGAAAAAGAAGGTAAAGGTCACAAACCCAATGAAAGCACAAAAAGTACAGATATGACTTTCAAAAGGATACGGATAAGGAGTTGCCAGTCTGATCTCCGCAGGCAGGTTTTCTCATGTTTATACCTGTAAAGTGAATAACTTTCAGTGGCCACCAGGCTACACAAAGTAATCTCTACATCTTATCATAGCTCCGTTTGAAGAAGGATAAAGAGTGTATGTTACAGCGCCACTAAAGAGTCCAGCCATTTGCACCGCGTCATTAACTAGGTTCTCTGTCAAATACATTGTTGTGATATGAGGAAGTCAGCAGTTTGTCGTTAATAGAGACTGCTATGGCAACAGAAGAAACTACAGCATTATTGGTTATGAAGAGTTGTCTTAAGAGCTGATCATATCTTTTAGGATTCAAACTATTAGCAATAATACTCGGATTTGCCATATTATATTAACACTGGTGCAGTTGTGTCCCAAATCCATACTAATTATTTTATAAAGTATGTATACCTGTCATAGTAGGCCAATACTGATTTACTGTAGCATACAAGAGAGTACACAACAACCTAAACTGTTTTATATTTACAGTAAGTCACACAATATGTGGGATATCAAATGCCCATCGAACTGGGATTTGGACAATTTTATGTCAAAAACACAAAGATTATTTGGAGAGGATTTATTTATTTATTTATCAACAGCTCAATCAAAATCCCACCTTATTAAGTTTCAATGTTTATTTTATTAGCTGACAATGTGAACTATACAAAAAATGCTCTTTTTTATTGTCGAAACACTCATAGCCACAAAGGAAAGGCCTTAATTCTGATTGACAACAAAATCATTATCAGATCTATCACCCTTTTTTATAAAAACCCTCATGACTGAAGAAAGTGCTCAATAAAATATTAACATCAAAGGGGTGTCACATTATTCAAGGTTATTACCAATATTACCCATATCAACTTCACATTCATCAAAACAAAATGTGATAGCCGTACATTAAAGCAAAAATGTATTAAACAGAAGCCGTGGACTTTGATAGACGTGATATGAATTTAAAGAGGATTTATACCCTCCGATTTCTCAGCGCATGATCTGTGAAATTTGGTGATAGCATTGGTCCGCTTAGAGGAGAGGGATAAGGAAAGAGGCTGAGATATCGTGCAGAACTAATTTGAGCATCCACTGCTGGTGAGTGGATTATCAAACGAACAACTTTTATTGTTCACAGCGTTACATGATTAAAACTCAATGAGAGGGCATTAGAGAGGAGGCAGAGTGATGGAGAGCTGAGGGCATGCTGAGGCTGAACATGATGGTTAGGATTATGACCGAGGGCCTATATCTGCAGGCAGAAACTGCAGTATGTCTGGTTTACAACAAACATTTAGAAGATCTAGGGTCAAAGGATTATAAGGATGAATCCCAACTTTTATCTCAAAGACTTAAAAATGTCCTCTATGACTTTAAGTGCGAAGTAGTGTTGTTAGTTTATTTTAAACTCACTGGCCTTCTTTTAGAACCCCCAATCCTCCTGGCATTGATAACATGCAGCATGTTGGGCATCAATTATTTGTTTTGCTTTGACACGTTGGACTTGGTATAAAACGAATGGCCGTTGTTCTGAATAGTTTTGTGCATTTTGACCAACTGATGCTGGATGTTTTAGGTCAAAATAGAAAATGTAAAAGTTTTTTTAATTG